TTAATGCCTAGCTATAGTTTACTAATACCCTAGACTTAATTATATACTTTAATAGGTTATAGCTAATATCTAAGGCTATAGGCTATAGATATATAATTTACTAATTAAAGCTAATAGTTAGTAAAGGTAATAGGTAACTTAGAAAGGTAAAGGTCTTTAATATAAAGGCAATAGATACTTTATAAGGTCTTAAAGTAGCTATATAGTTAGCCTGGCTAGAAGACTATATAACTATATACCTAGATAATATATTAGTAGCTAAAGGGTTATAGTAAAATGCCTTAAACTCCTTATAAAATATATTTCTTAAATTTTAATAAATATCTTAGGCCTATAGCCTTATTAGGGTTAAATAGTGCCTTAGGTATATAGATATTAAAGGTAATAAATAAGTAAATGCTCTAGCTAAAGCTGGCTATAAACTTTTAGAATTACCTAAGGCCTAACTAATACTAGTTTATATCTATAGATAGGCTAAAGTTAAAATAAAGAAAGATTTTAAGAACTAGTAAATTACTAATATCCCTAATAGCTATAAAAACCTTAGCCTTAAGGCTATACTAAAATATCTAAGAAAGCTTAGCCTTTATAAATACTTACTATACTATTTACTAGCAGCTAGAATAGGCTATAGAGACTTTGCTAACTACTATAAGAGATTTTAGTATAATAATACCCTGCTTAAATACTCTTATAGGCAGTAAAAATTACCTAATTACCTTTTTTATTATTAAAAGATTACCTTTAATAAGAGGCTATAGCTTATATCTATGCCTTAAAAGGAAATTAACTAAATAATAGGCAAAAAATACTAAGACTTTATTAAGTTTATAGAGGTAATAAGCTTTTTTATAAAGATCTACTTATAATACTAAATAGGGCCTAAAACTTATACTAAAAGCAAGTTAACTACCTAACTAGGTAATAAAAATACTTTTTTCTTTTTTTTTTATACTAATATTTTTCTTAGTTAAGGAAGGTATGCCTAGTTAATTAGTAGTAGGTAAGCTAATATACCTAAGGAAATAACTACTAGTAGTTATAAAAAATAGGTTTAAATAATTTAACTACTAAATAATTAAATTAAATAAGTAGTAATAGCTATACTTATATACTTTTACTAATAAAGACTAAGCTTTAGAAATAAGGCCTTTTTAAAATTAAAAGGGTAAAGAAGTTACTAAGATTCTGTTATAATTTAGATATATAGCCTTATAAAGCCTTATTTTTAGTAAGCTATTACCTGGCCTATATATAAAATAGCCTATTTTAGCTAGCTTAGTATGTCTTTTTACTCCTTGTAGAGATTGGCTAGGGGAAGCCCAGTGGGACGTTAAATAATACAATAATAACAACAAAAATACTAAGCCCTCAAGGTTCTTCCTCCTTATCCCCTAACTACCTCTCTCTTCCTTGTGATCCCATTCAGTATCTGTCCCACAATGCCGTATCATCTCCGACCTGTCACCCAAAACCCAAGTTAGCGTAGTCTGAGCCTCTGAGGCTGCCAAAGTTGCCCCTGGCGTTAGTTATAGTGTGGGCGTTTCCCCCCGCTGCCGGAGGTCGAAGCCGGCCTTTCATCGGCGAGGGAGGTTTGGAGGTCAATGAGGCTCAGTGAGATAACTTGAATGGCTGGAGGAATTTCAATCTAACCGTGCTCTTCAGCTTCGAGCATAGAATTCCAGTTGAACCAACACCTTTTGCTCGTTGCTCCACGAGACCCCATTAGCCATATGTTACACTAAAATGAAATACGTTGCCCTGATATTCATCGCAGAATGTCGTTCCACCCATATTGCTTGAATGTCGAGCCCCAGACCGTGATGCCGTCCCACAATCCGTCTACCTAGGTATCTACCATCCGTAAAGCGCCAGCCCATAAATCATACCATACCTATCATAAAATAAACCCAACCCTACTCTGCCCAGTCATCATGAAGCACATACGACGACATTAGACCGTCCCTTTTAACAAATATCAACTTACATCAGAAACCCAAACAACAGAGGGGCTGGTATCGGTATGGGAGCTCCATCATCATAGTCATCAAAATCACTCGAGTTTCCCTCACCCCATTCGTCTTCCCCATCTTGCTCCCCTTCATCATTTTCATCTTCTTCGTCTTCATCCCCATCCCCTCCGCCTATGTAGGGAGGGAAGAGCTCAAATGGAACTCCATCGCTATCGACGTCATAGTAATCTGAATGATCGTCAATCTCATCACTGACAGAGCCAAATTCAAAGTCTTCCCCTTCCTCGTCCTCGCCATCATCCTTGATTCCAATGTTAGCAGTGAGCATCTCCATCTCCGAGGGTTCCACATAGGCTATGTCGAAGGCCTCCAGGACCTTTCGCCCCTCGACCTTTAGGACCTCGGTTTTCGGAATCGCTTGCTTCACGAGTTCTTTGACATCTTCATCATCAAGCGTTGCGACATCAGTTCGGAGACCAGCTGAAAGCAGCCGGCTGGTAAATGCCCAGTTGAGTGTTGGTAAACGATCATCTGATCTTCCGACTAGAACCCTGCTTGGATGGGGCTCCCAGCGTATGAGAGATGACCAACATTCTCGATGTAGCCTCTCTGGTTTGTCGCGCAACGCGTGCGGATGTTTGGCGAGAAGTTGACATGTCTGTGGCTGATAGTCATGAGTTATGGTATACATGAAAGCACCATCAGGCATGGCCTTTGTAGGCATATGGATGTCGGCGCCCCCATTTACAAGAACAGGTGTTGTCCGCCAACAAGACCCGGATCTGAAACTATAATACAACGGTGGCTCGCCCTCGAACAGCTCATTCGGGTCCTGGCCGCGATCAAGAAGCACTTGAATCAGGCTTGATGGCTCGTCAGCAATCGGAGAAGGCTTCTCCAAGCACCGGTAGATTAACCCCTTACGGAACACGCTCGGGGTTGGGACCGACCTCATCAGGTCGGCGGCTCGTGTCCAGAGCTGCTTGTTCAGAGCTGTTTTTAAAAGATCCACCAAGAAGCCCTCAGAGGGACCTGAGATGCCGTACTTGGCGTAATCGATGTGCAAAATGAAATCCGTCTTTCCATCATCATACGGTTCGTGAACGAATATCGAGAGAAGTCTTTCCAGATCGCCCTTTTCTGGCCGCCCCCCGTTCTCAATGATCGCTCTAGCGATGTTCAAGTTCCCATGAATGATGGCCTCTGTGAATGGACGGCTGGTAGCAACACCCTTTTCGTTTGGGTCAGCACCATGCTCAATGAGAAGCTTGGCTAGAGTCGCGTGCTGATTATCCCATTCACGGTTGAAGTAGGGTTCACATTGCCGTGTGCAGATAATGTTGAGTGGAGTGATCTCGTCTCTCGAATCTTCCAATGTTGCTCCTGCATCAAGCAGCAGTTTGGCAGAATCGTACAAACCCAGAATAGCAGAGCCTTCGGCAGTTTCACCGACCCTCGCAAGCGCAGACAGACCTTCATTGTCCACCGCGTTGACATTGGCACCGCCTTCGAGCAGTGCCTGCATTGCATCTGTGTTGCAGCTCGCGCTCGCCACCATCAACGGCGTCATTCCAAGAAGAGTTTCACGTGCGTCGACATCGAAACCCTTAGTGATGAATTTCTGAATGAGTTCGGCCTCGGAGACCTTGCTAGGTTGCTTCGGAGGAGGTCCGAGGGGGTCGAAAAAGTCTTCTGGCCGGAGGTGACGAGGTCCGAGAATCAGGTGAAGAATACTGAATTGATGTACAGATAATGTCGTGACATTTGAACCCAAATCAACGAGTCTTGCGGCGTCATCGAAGCGACGTGAGAAACATGCCATCATGAGGGGTGTCAACCCCGTTTCAATGAGTCTCTTATCTATATCGGCACCATGTTCAAGGAGATATGGGACTACGGTGTCCCAGTGTCCATGCCATGTTGCTTGAAATAGTGGTGTTCCCATAAACGGTCCTTCGACATCGATGTCTTCTTGGTATTTTTCGTCAATGAGAAACTCGATGAGATCCATCATGTTCCATTTCGCAGCGTGGTGTAGTGCGGTGAGTTTGAATCTGCTCGAGTCCACCGGGGTGTCATCCTGTCGCCATGCGAGCGGTTCCAGCTCAAAGTCTATTCCCTGATAAATGACCGGCGACGCTCCACGTTTCAACAGAAACTTTGCCGTTTCGATTTGATTATGGCATATGGCGACATGTAAGGGTGTCCAGTTCCCCCCATGTAAATCCTCGAGCTCTCCTTCATCAACAGCTGGAGACTCGGTGAAGGCTTCCATGGGCAGATGTGGACGACACAAGCACACGCCCCACGAAGGGGCATCAATAGGAGCACCCGCATCGAGGAGAATCTCGATCATATCGATCCGTCCCTTACTCGCGGCAACATGTATGGGCTCCCATCTGCAATCGCTGAATATGCCGTCGTCGCAACCGGTTTCGAAGCAATCGCACATGTCGTGTGTGACATATGATGCGTCCAAGTCAACTGAGTGGTCATCGTCCTGATCCCTCCAAACAGGGTCGTCGTAGTAATTCGAATGATAGTTGTACCACTTATGCTTAGCGGCGATGCGCGGTTTGGGTCGGTGGGTGAAGGCCACCCGTGAGGCGTCGACGCCAGCTTCAAGAGCGCGGCGCAAGATATTGACGTCTCCCTTTTCGACAGCCCAATGTATGGCACCCGGTCTATCCGATCGAGCTTCGCGTTTCCAGAGAATCGGGCTGGCGATATCGTAGCAGTGTCGGTTGGCTCGTGATAAGCTAGCTATATCATATTTCTTGACCAAGAAGCCGGCGATATTACAGAGGACCTCGTTTGGCAGCCTGTCCAGCGAAGGCATGGTGGGCGAGCTACCTTGGGCGACGAGGGACCTGGAGATGAGAATGATGCAAGGAAAGAAAAGTTCAAGTATGACTGAGTGAGTACGCCTAATAATAATCCATGGCAATGGAATTTCTCGACTTTCCCGAAGTGGACCTGTTTGGCGAAGCTCTTGCATCACGCCAAAGCTCGATGAGCCAACCAGATTGAGATTTAGCGGAGTTCGCTCCGCATCTAGCGCCATCAGCCCTGTCCTGGTCAACTGAAGCACTGTCCATTCGTTCCATGTTTGGTGATAGTCCCAATACCTCGGGAGCACGTATCATTTCATCGGGAGGAAACAAGCACTTTAGATGGAAAAGGAGAGGAGAAGTTTATATCTTTTCTTTTGACCTATAGCAATGTAACTGAACTTGGTCGTTACCGTTATGCCCGCTGACTTGTAGTCCAGAAGTGCCAGCGTCTGAAGGCTATAGACTACAGGGGGTTGGCCCACTATCAAATCGTACATTGTTTTAGTCAAGACATCCATCCATCGGATTGAACAGCAGGTCCATACTCTAATGAAGGTTTGGTTGAAACATGGGTACATGATAGAAGCAATGGGCTCAGATATTCCTGTGTCAATTGGAAACAAGGGAGGAAATATAAAAGCGTGTTGAAGAATCAAAATACAATTCATCCCTGGAGAAGGCTCATTTACTTGGCACAGATCCAACAAGTTTGGCTATGCAGCGGCTTGGAGATACTCCCCTTTCACCGAATGTCATCGATGTGCAGGTTTCTTTTGCTGAAATGTGCACACTCTCCCATATGCGCCCCGGAATGTTATTCGTGGTTTTCTCACTTTCTCTGTGCTTTGTGAAGTCAAAGGGCAACCCAGCCTCAATGTAGACCACACTCGGCCCATTCTGCCTTAGACTTACAACGGGAAGCCAACCAACATGAAATGGAGGGTACAAACACACGGCTATACGCCCTCAACTAAAAGTCAAAATGGAATAACAGAGCGAAGCAACATTATATAAACCAGAGCCCTACCTCCCTTTCCTAGAGGGTTCTCACTACTTTATCCATACTCCTGCATTGACTATCAACACCATGGGCGTTGGACCGCCTCGTCTAGACAAATACGACAAGATTCTCTCACGTCTTTTTGAGAATCTTGCACTGTTCCATATACTCAAAGGCATTGATGGCCCTCACATGGTCACCGCCCATGCTCCAACTGATGTTCGAGGTATCAGACGCAGGTTCCTCAAAAACTTGTGTTTCATCTGCGATTATCGAAAGGGCGGAGACACTACTACTTCAATTGCTCTAGAATCCCAGACAAACGAGATTATTCTCTGGGTTGCTGCGAACTTCACGCCACACAATAAAGTCATCCTGTTCCTGAACGATATTCTTCAACAGCTACAAACGGACCCGAAAGGGACCGAGGAAGAACGAGAAAGGCTGAGACAGAAGTTGACAAAGAAATGCATTGACTTTGCAGCCCCAAGGCTGAAGAAAGAGTGCAAGCTGTTATGGCGGGCTACTCGTTATTGTGAAAAGTATCTGCAAGAAGATGCCACAGCTGTCCAAGGAGCTGGTAAGTTAAGTCATAACAACAGGAAGAGGCATGGCTAACCAAGGATGTCCATAGAAAGAAGATCCCTCCTTGAGTGGCTACCTCGATTCTCTGATACTAATACCGACACTCTAGCCCTTTGTCAAACTGCTTACAATTCTCGACATGATTTTCAGATGTCAAGCCTTATTAGGTCTCTGAGTAGCGAACTTGGCGTTGCGCCTCAAGAAACTGCGATGAACGTCAAGGCAGTCCGACATTTGATAGGTCGTCTTGCCGAAAGAATCCGCATACCAGCGCTCCTGATTGATGATTTCCTCAAGTTAGGACCACTGTTCAACTCTTATCAGATCAAGAAAGTTCAAGCTCCTACCCCAGCAATTGTTCCACCAGCGGATGGGCTCAGGAACCTCAACTCGATCTTGAAAAGGATACTACAGCCTGGGGATCCCCGCCTTGAGGATATGCAGAGATATCTCGCTCGTTTAGATGGGCCACTAAAACTGGAAGATGCCATTAGATCCATGTACAGCGAAGATAACGGCCAAGTGCTTGTACACTCAGAGATTCAGGTACTAGAAGAATTTCATCGTAACCAACGCAGCTTTGTCGGTAGCGATCGTTACATAGCATGCAGTAAGCTTGCATGTCTATGCTGCAAATTCTACTTTAGACACCACCCTGGAAAATTCGAGGAACCCGAGTCTCATCAGAAAGCATACCTGAACTGGAGACCTATTGAGTTGCCAGGCGGATGGAAGAATGAGCACTGGCCGCATCAGCGTAAAGCCTTGGGGATGCTTAGCAGTGAGCTGAGTACAGCAGTTGAAAAGCAGATTGAAACTCAGCAACAGCCTGCCCCATGGCAACCTGACTCTGTGACGAATATCACCGAGACTATGAGCTCTGCAAGCCTTGGCGAGGTTGAGGCTGACGAAGTCTTGGGAATTGACGATGGATGGAGTGACGGTGAGTTTATCAAAGCTTACGCCAGTGTCGAACGGTATATTGACATCACCACTCACAGATTCTGCCTCATTGGCACAAATACACAAAGATGAATCTAGCGATGAGAACGACGATAGCGATAGCGAGTCGGATGGAGGCGTAGGATTGGATGCTTGAAGTGATAGGAGTATATATCTAAGATTTTAGTTATACTACCATTAACATTTTGTAAATTTAGAAAGAAACCAGCAACGGATGAATACGAAATTGAATTTGCTCTCGGTGCAAGCTATTAAAAGGACCGGCTAGCTACGGCGCTTCCTCTCCCTCTTCTTTCCACGATGTGCCTCCCGCTCATGTCTACTCAAGTTGCACTTCCTGGTGAACCACTCATTGCATAACAAACACTGGAAGGTCTTCTGGGAGCGGTGAGTCTTAAAGTGCCGTTTCATGTCCTTCTGCCAAGCATCTGTGTAGCTACAGCCAGGCCAGGAACAGTGAACAGGTCTGGTATGAGTCCGAAGATGATTGCTGAGTTCTCGTTAGCAACGTGGACATAGAGAATCAAAGGATCAAAAGACTCACTTCCGCTTGCGATTCTCGTCAAAAGACTTATCGCATTTGGGCCAGTTGCAAAAAAATATTCCATTTCTTGTGAACTCGTCACTTTTCAAACGAGTGACGGTATCTTCTTCGAACCTTTGCTTGCTGCTCGTTTCTGAACATGAACTATTATCTGTCGGGGTCTCAGCAGGAGGAGAACTAAAGACTGGAGAGATGAGGTCAAAAGATTGTATCTGAGTTCTATCACTTCCTAAAACCACGGGAGAGAATGAATCAAGCACTGTGTCGTTTGACTGGCTGCCTACAGAATCCGCACTCTATAGAGTGGATGTGGGGTCTGGGGAGCCAGAGAGCGATACATATCCTGGAATCACCTCATATGCGGATTCAGGAAGATCGAGAAGAGATACAGGCGAGGATGAGAGATCGAACTGAGCTGCTTCGACATCGCTGAGATGCGAATCCATCCCGATAATCGGCGCTGCGAAGTCAAAGTCGGAGAAGTCGTCCACAGCTGTAGGTGCGGAGTTCATAGCCAAGCCAAGGACATCTTCTTGGTCCATCAAAGGGCCAAGAGAAACGAGATCCTGCGGCCAATCTAGATACAGGGCGGTGCAACGTCAGTACAGCGGTTGGTGGAGTATTCCCCAAGCATAATGACTCGAGCCTGACACTCTTAACTTACGGCTGAGCGAATTGTCCGAGCCTACGAAACTTAATTCCGTAGGCTCGTCCTGAATCTGGGGAAGCGATTGAGTATCACTCATGAACTAGACGCTGTAAATGGGATTGGAAAGAGGGTGCGTTTACAAAGAAACTCTCAGACGAAGCGTTTCATTTTATACTCTGTTGTTGTTTTCTCTAGGTATGTCTCATATACTCTCGGCATGGCTTGAAATGACACCTTGAGTAGGCTTTCTCGCAACCTCTTGGCACGGTCGACCCCTCAATTGGAGGTTAGAAGTCATGTTATTGGTATTTGGTTGGCCATGTTTGTTGGTCGGAAGTGTAAAAATGCCCGCTAGGGGAGGCCTACCTTATCTTATTGGACATAAGTACACCGAGTTTGCGGCCAGCGGGAACTTTGGCTTACACGGCCCGGGCTGAGGAGACTATGTAGGCTACATGTCTTGGAGTGAACTCAATGGATTTAATGGTGTACTCTAATTACCTGCCTTGTGAGTTCCGAGGGCTGCTCATTGGAGGTGACAGTAGCGAGGTAACCTTGTGCCTGGCGAAGTGTAATAAGTTGCAACCAACACCTGTCAGTCTTACCACCACCTCCAACTGAGGCTCTGGTTTTTCACGATATCAGACTTGACGAGAGAATAACACCTTTGGTTGCCTCACCGCACCAAGACAGGCAATGCTTTATCTCTCAACCTAACGCAAAGACATTGCAACACACAACGATGTCATCAAGCCACAACTTGGGGTAAAGTCACTGCCTAAACCATAACAAGTGGAATACAAATGGAGAAACTCGTCAACTCGTCCAGGTCTAGACTGAAGATATTCTCCACAACCAAACCACGCCGTTGAAGCCATGAGCGAGCCCGGTTCCTAGGCTAAGAGGAATTGAGGATAAGGTTATCAAGAATAGACATTGACTAACCAAAATCCATTTCAAATCATGAGAGGTTTGCACTGACTAGCATCATATGATCATGATGGTATTTTCACGTCTAAGCCGCCGCCAAGTAACGTTATGCTTCAATTAGTTGCCTGATAGGACATCGAGATTGAGTTTACGTTTGGAAGAAAATGCCCGCTCGAAAATTCCGACTCCTGTGATACTATTCTGGAGGAATGTTTGTGATCTCATACGAACAGGCCACACGTAATTGAGATATGAACCACATTTATGATATAATTCACGACGCAGGACATGAGTGATCGTCGCAGTGACACATACAAAAAGACCCTGGTGATATCATCTCAAGGGATATAAAACCGCCATCTCGTAAAGATCTGTTGAGATTATATATCTTAAGCTTTAATAAGAATATTATTTTATAAAAGCTTAATATTATAAGTCGATGTAGATGGTATCTGCCTCTCCAGGTGCTCAGCACCACAAGCGTAACTGGCCTTGGATCTTTCTAGAGAAGTTAATTATTAAAGACTTTGCTATTATATTAAAGTTAAAGTGTATTTTCTAACCTTATAATTAACTTATAAACTTAACTTTACTACTACCTTTTAATTACTTTAAACTTTCTTTTTAACTTTCTTTTTTAATTATACTAATATTAAAAAGTAAAGTCTTTTTATAGCTAATATATAAAATATAGCTAATAAGGTTTTATAATAAAAATAATATAATATAATACTTATTTTTTAATATATTATAATATATAGTATTATATACTATATTAAAAAATATAATAACCTTAATATTAAGTCTTAAAGTTATATAGCTACTGCCTTAAACCTTATAATCTAACTAAATAAGTAGCTTTAATTTTTTTTCTTTATTTTTTTTTCTTTCTATTAGCCTTATAAGGCCATTAAGCTTTTAACTTCTGTATAATGGCTTAAACAGTAAGGCCTTTATAGCAGGCTAGTATCTTAAAACTTAATATTAGTAAAGGTTTATCTGCCTTAGTAGCGTAATTACTGCCTTAATTAAGCAGTATAAATACTACCTATAGGTCCATTACCCCTTAGTAGCTATGTCAGGTCCCTTTCTTTATCCTACCTATAAGACTAAGATACTGCAGGTTAGCTTTTAGCATAAC